CTCTCTCTCTCTCTCTCTCTCTCTCTCTCTCTCTCTCTCTCTCTCTCTCTCTCTCTGAGTCGGTGAAACTCCGACGAAACAGTTTGTCACAGCCCCTCGTTTGTTGTCCTCTTCTCCCTCTCTGCCCACGGTTTACGGGGCAGCTCTGTTTGAAGATATATACCCGTAGGCAGAGAGGGAGAAGAGACAACAAACGAGGGGCTGTGACAAACTGTTTCGTCGGAGTTTCACCGACTCATCAGGAGGTATATCTATCTCGCGCGCGCTACAACTGCCTTTGTCTTGCCTTTGTGCTGCATCCACTGCCCCACACACTCCCATCTGGAGAATCGAGTTTTTTAGACAAAGGAAAACAAAAGAAGAAAGAAAAGTCCACCGGGACATCCCTTAAAATTGGAACGGGAAAAAAAACAAACGGAACGATGCAGAGAAAGAGAAGATTAGCAAAGCCCCTGCGTAAGAATGACATGCATTTTTTCTTTTTTTTTTACCCTTCCCTCATTGTTTTTTTTTGTTCCCCATTCCTCCTCGTCGTCATCTTCCCTCTTCCTCCTTCCCCCTCCTCTTTTCTCTAAATACAATGAATACAACGACTTCTTTTTTCTGATACAACGAAAAAAAAAAAAAAGAAAGGAAGGTGACGTTCCTCCTCCCTCATTGTTTTCGTCCCTCTACTTCGTTCCCCCTTCCTTCTCCCCGTCATCTTCGTCGTTTCCCGTCATCTTGCCCTCAGTCATCTTCCCCCTTCCCCTGCTGCTTCTCCTGCACTTCATTCCCCCTTCCTCCTCACCGTCATCTTTCCTCATCCTCCTTCCCCCTCCTCTTTCCTTTAAATACGATGGATACGTCGATTTTTTTGTAATAGAACGAATAAATAAAAGGAAAAGGGAGGCGACGTTCCTCCTTCCTCCTCGTCGTCATCTTCGTTATTTCCCGTATGCCCGTCATCTTGCCTCCGGTAGTCTTCCTCCTTCCCCTGCTGTTTCCCGTTTGCATGCCGTGGCCGTCATCTTGCCCCCAGTCACTTACTATATGAGAGAGAGAGAGAGAGAGAGAGAGAGAGAGAGAGAGAGAGAGAGAGAGAGAGAGTCACTGACCTGTCTGTACTTGAAGCTTGGTTGTCTCTCTCGTTCACCCTGGATAGGTCACCTCCTCTTCACCCCTCCCCCCCAACAACCTCCTCCTACCTGGGCGGCTGTCTGTCTCTCTCGGTCGCCCAGGGACCTCCTGTCTCGTCCTCGTATGCCACCTCCTCCCCGTCCCTCCTCCTCTTCCTTCCCCTCTGTGCAGGTGCAGCAATGGCGGCTCGAAGGCGTACAGGGATGGCAGAAATGCGCGGCTCCAAGATGGCGAAGACGAGCTTGAGGATGGCGAAGACGGTCGAGCGGCAACGACGAGCAAGATCCAACACCGCCAACAAAAAAAAACGAAGCCACGGCCGCCAACAAAAAGAAATCGAAGCAGTAAGGCAGGCAGATTCGAATTTTTCGAATCTGCCCGCCTTACTGCTTCAGTCCTGGTCTGGCCCTGTGTGGAAAGTGCGAATGGGGCCTAAAATTCATGGAACTATTTTTTAGGGCCTCCCTGGGTGCCAAGCGACACTTCCAGGCCGCCCTTTTTTTTATTTTATTTTGGCCAAGGGGGGGGCAATCTGGACCGTCTAGACCGGACACCGGACCCAGACCTCCGGACCCAGACCGTCTGCAAAGCGGTCCGGACGTCCGGATCGCTACCATGCTAAAAATGTTTCAAAAATAATTAAATTGTTTAGACCCCGAAAAGTGAAAACAAAAAGTAAAAAGTTAAAAACAAAGTGGTTGAGAACGTTTTGACACCGCCATTGTTGGCGATTTTTAATTCCTATTTGGCTGAGCTAAATGATTTGAAACTTTATAGGCATGTACGTGACGTCATAGAGATCTCACAAAACAAAATTCAGAAAACAAAAGTTATTTTTAGGCCCCGAAATCATTTTTGGCGGGGGCCGAACGCCGTCGGGTTCGGACCCCGTATGGGACCCCGAACGCCCGTACGTAAGGAGGTCTGCCCGGGGACCTCCGTACATACGGGCTGGTCCCCGGGCAGACGTCCGTACGTATGAGCATTCGGGGTCCCGTACGGGGTCTGAACCCGACGGCATTCGGCCCCCGCCGAAAATTATTTTGGGGCCAAAAAATAATTATTGTTTTCTGAATTTTTTTGTGTGAGTTCTCTACGACGTGAGGTACATGCCTGTAAATGTTCAAGTCATTTGGCTAAGCCAAATAAGAATCAAAAATCTTCAAAGATGGCGGTGTCAAAACGTGCTCGCCCACGTATTTTTTCACTTTTTACTTTTTGTTTTCACTTTAGTTCGGGGTCTAAACAATTTTATTATTTTTTGA